GCCAATTTCCTGTTAGCTTCCACCTAGCTTCCTGGCTTCACACTCAACAATCTCCCACTTGAAGCCACGGAACAATGTTCACCTGCGCTTCAACTGTGCACATGTACTTCTGTAATCTGATAACGGAACTCAAAATTCCACCACCTCTAGTTGCCACCAGCCTTCTTGATCATCGAGAAGACTCTGTTGAAACTCTCCTAAGTTTCAACCCATCAGTCATGGCTTGAACTGCCTTTGACTCATCCTCAGTCCCTACCGGCTCCCACTGCACACACGCACTGCCGGATCCTAAAACATCCTGAAAACAAACAATCTCCATACTGAGCAAGAAATTTTCTGGAGATGTTTCAACAGCTGGAATACTGGTTCTCCGGACCCAATGTCTTATAGGAACCTTGGCTGAAGCAAAACCTGTGCTCCCACTGCCACAGATACCTCTGACTGGTCTCATTGAACCTTTCCTCGCTCGTTCATCCTGAGTCTGACCTGTGGCTCTGGGTTTCTTTCTTGTATAGAAAACCTTCTTCTGCCCACGAGACTCTGTGAACCGGACTTCATTTTTCTTCTGAATTGGGACGGTCACTCCCTCAGATGGTAACTCGACCATATACAACGAACCTCTCTTCCTTCCACGGGCCATGACAAGATTTCCCTTCACGACCTTCCACTGCCCATTTCCGAACTTCACCTCGTGTCCCTGTTCGTCCAATTGCCTAACAGAAATCAAACTTTTCTTCAAGGCTGGAACCACTCTGACATCCTTTAAAGTCCAGAAACCGACAGGGGTCTTCAGCACTATGTCACCCATGCCCGTCACATCAAGAGCTCTGTCGTCTGCTAGTCGTACCTTTCCAAAGTCCCCAACAACTAGATTCTGCAATGCTTCACCGCTGTGGGTAGCATGAAATGAAGCACCAGAATCCATGACCCAGGAATCTACACTGCTCTCCGCACAACAGATAAACAAATCCTCGTCGCTCGCGGAGCCTCTAGCAATGTTCACTTGCTTAACCTCTTTCGGGCACTGATTC